CCTTCATACGAACAAAAGCAAGAGAAATTTAGGATAAGAATATGAACATGTTCTTGCATGAGGCCCATTATTCTTACACAATCAATTCTTGTTTAGTAAATCAGTCTCAAAACAAGATCAAAAAGACTTTTTGGCTGGATATAAGATTTTAAAACTTGGTTAGGTGGACATTTTTGCAGTAATGAACAAGACTCTGGATTGCTCTGCTTTTGAGGCAAAAACTCATCCCTGAACCGGAGAGTGCATTCCACTTCTTTTTCAGTTGAGAACCCTGGCCCAGACTTAAAGGAGCTAACTCCCATCCCCTCTGGTTCAACCCTGACTGCAAACTGCCCCAGTACACGCTTAGGGTCATGGCCTAAAAACGCCAACAGAACCATATCCTATGCAAAAAAAAAAAAAAAAAAAAAAAAGAGACAAGGTTCTCAACCCAGACAACATCCTCTCCATTCTAACCATAAACACAACAAACAGGATCAGAGAGAAAGGACAGCACTGATGGATTAACTTCGTGCTGAGGATGCAGCCAAACCTCTTGCTTGGTTACACAGGGACTGGATAGACCTTAAAAGCAACACTAGTACCCCATATTTCCTTAGTACGCCCCACAGAATGCCTCTGAGAACACGGTCATAATCCTACTCCAGAGCTACAAAAACACCTGTAGACTGTAGAATTAAACTCCCACGACCCTTTTAGTAACTCTGAAAGGTTAAAGATATGGTGCTCTGTTCCACAACCTCCTGAATCAGAGGTCTGACAACTGGTCCGATCCTCAGAGATCCTTGGATTTGCGGTCTAGACCAGTTACTCCCAAACCTTTCATCTTCTGAACCACAACAAAATATCAGCAAAGACTTGTGACTCTACTAATGCTGGATAAAGTGAAAACATTGCTAATGTGCAAATGCAATGGCAACACAAATATAAACTATTTGTATTTTTTTAATTAATTTGTTATTGTTTTTTTTTCAAACAGTTATGGGGAAAATGTGCTATTAGTAATCATCTTTAAAATTTGCACATGATTTAGTTGTCCTGCTCTGCTTTACCTACATCAGCTCATTATGTACCAACCTTGGTAGCTGCCTCCACGTTAATGATTTAATGGTTAAATCTGCTGGAGTAGACTTTAGAAATAAAAACAGGTGGAACTGGATCAGTTTTTAACTCTTATTAAATATCTTCTGTGTGATTTTTATACTTCAATGTGTTTTTCTGAGTGTGTAGTGCAGAGATCAAAATACAGCTCGAGGTCACTTGAGATGTGCAAAATCTCTGCGGCTATTTTGAGAGAAAATTTGTTGCACAAATATTTTTCTTTTACACGTTTAAATTAACAAGATGATATGTTTACAACAGTATATAATCACATATCACTGTCATATTTATTTATAAATCAAATAAAAAAACAAGGTTAATATAAATAAAATAAATTCAGTAAAATCACACATAGAAACTAAGAACTTGAATAAAAAAGGGCCGAAAACAAACTAAAAACAAGTAAAAACATAAAAGGTCTGATAGAACTCCAACTGAACTTAAATCAAAAGTCAATGTAAAAAAGACTTTACATTTCCCAATAACTTCAAACTGTTTGTTTCAGATCACAGCACCATGGCGAGAGGTAGCTGAGGGAACATCAAGTCACGTTTCAGGGTCTAAGCTCCAAGTGAAACAGAAACACACACCTCCAGAGCCACAGAGAAGGGGTCCACCTTGGAGCGACGGTCTCCCATGTACGTCTGGATGAGCTTAAAAAGGTCCACAGCCTCCTTTTTCACCGTGCGGTCAGTGGTGACGATCATTGGCTTCTTGATGGGCTCGCTGCTCCAGGCCAACATGTTGGCAATGGAAACCTTCCGCCTGAACAGCCCCTGTGGAACAAACCAGGGACGAATGAAGAAACAAAGAAAAGATAAAAGAGACAGGTTCAGCCTTCTTATATCAGGATCTGAGTTTTTCATTTGTTTGTTATTTTTATCAGTTTTTGGTGTTTGTTATAAGGGTTATTCCTTTTTGGTTTGTTGATTTGTTTCAATGACAGTCATGTCAAGTTGGTTGGTTGGGACCAGAGGTGGACAAAGTACTCAATTTACTTACTGGAGTCCTAGTACTGATCCTACTGGTTAAATATTACTGCAATAAAATTAAAGTAGCTCTGTCAAATTATTACACAAGTTAAAGTATATGCTTTCAAAAATACTTAAGTACTAATGGTCCTTAAAATTTCAAAGTTTTTAATAATGCATTTCACTTGAGTGTAGTCCAGAATAATTGGGAAAATGTTCTGTTTTATTAGTCAGATCAGTATCGTTTGATATAAAATAAAAATAAAGCATTTAGTCTTATTGAGCTTTTCTAGAGCTACAACACGTTTTACACTTTGCTGCATTATTCCTACACTCCTCAGTCACACTCGGTGGTGGAAGTGTGGCTGCCATTCTGCACCTACGGCCCCTCCAGACCACCACAGTCACACCAACAGATTTATACATGGGGAAGATGGGTTAAGTGTCTTGCTCAGGCAGGGATTTGAACCAGCGACGCTCTGGTTGCAGAGTGAACACCAATCCCCTGCACCAATAAGATCTACTATATGTTCCTGATTAAATTCAAACAGCAGATGTCTTCATAGAGCTCTGATTTGAAAAGCTTTGAGTAATCGACATTTTTTCAATACAGTTCTGCTGAAAGATGTGAAGAGATGGCATCCATCCCACTTTGGATGGAGCACTTCTTCTTTCTAGGAATGTGTCAGATTTTGTTAGTTATCCAAATTACTGACAAACCAGGGTTTTAGACCAGGAAGCAGAGTTGCAGTCTTACACACAGTTTCCGCTGCTTCTCCTCTGTTACCCACCCAAACTCCCAATGAAACAGTGTCAGCTCGCCTAAAGCCCAAATTAAAAACTAAAATAAGATCAGGGTTTGATCTTGGAGGATACATTTTTTTTCAGGAATTGTTTTAGTTAATGTTGTCTACCAAGACACAGTGGCGCTGAGAAAAGAGAGAGAAAAAAAACCTGTCAACAGCCAGAAGAAACATCTTACCTGTGTGTGTGTGTTGAAGTGCTTAGACGCCCAGTTCTCAATGTCCGTCTCTGAGGAGGGTTTTCTTAAGCTGAACTCGGGGAAAATGCCACAGCTGGCACTCGGCATCATGTTCCTGGCATTTCGACTGGCTTCAAACTGGGCACAGGCTCCCAGATCCTCCGACTGACAGGTGGAAAAAAAAAAAGACAGGAAGACGAGATGGGAAACAGTTTCAGTGATTTCTGTGCAGTTGCTTGGTTTCTCTGTAAGCAGCGCCTGCTTCAATCCACCTGCACCAAGCGTCTGTGGCATGTGTATTTACACACAGAAAACAAGATAAATGTAGATTACTCCTGGACATATGAGGACATCAGAGACCTGTTGTTGCTTTAACAGCTACAGTAAATAACACTACTCTTATTATTCTTCCCACTTATCCCACATGTCAAGCACCCAGCTCCAAGGACAGTTTGACTGGGACGGTACACCTGTCAAACAGTAACACAGGTGTCATAAAGAGACCTCAGATAGGAGGTCGTCTGTGAGGCTGAAGAGAAGCTCTGCACAGTGGCTGAACGGTTCCAGTTCAACGGGCATTTTATTTTGAAAGTGCAAACAATGTATAGTGTCAAATTACAAAAACAGCTCATGAAAAGTAAAGCTCTCGTGTTCTTAAACATAAACTGAGAAGGATTTGGGACTTTTGTGATAACTTGTTTCTTTGAGAGAAAATTTGTTTCACAAAGTTTTTTCAATTTGTCAAAACTCAAATGACAAGCTATTCATGCTAGTTTTGGTTTTTAGTTATTGTTCTGCCACTTTAAACTCTTAGCTAGCGTTTTGCTAATTTTAATTTATAAAAACAACAAATCTACCACAAAAATAAGATTCATCATTAACTTGTAAACTGCAGTTATTTCATTCTCTTAACGACTGATGCAGCAGTACCTGAGATGGGTGGAGGTAGGGTTCAGGGGAGGCCAGGTTAGTCTGAACAGACAGGCTCTTCTCCAACAGGGCCTGAGGGAAGCCTAGCCGGTCAAAGGTACTGTGTTTCCAGTGGTGACCTTCGCTCTGCGCCAGTGCCTCGTCCTCACTGAACGCCCTCACTACCGGCCCTGGAAATGGCAGCGGCATCGCCCCGTCGCTCTCATAGCCGTCCTTGGAGCCGCCGCCCTGGGACACTCTGCCTCCATGCCCGGAGTCCCAACTGCTTCGTTGCTTCATCACCTGCTGCGCCTCCCACGCCAGCCTGGCCTGAGCCAGCATGGCTTCCGACGCTGTGCCCGAAAGCTCCCCCTCCCCGCAGCGACTCAGCTCCTGAGGGAGGGACGGCTTGCGGCTCTTACGCTTGCGATTGCTGCTGGGAGAGAAAGTCCCGGGCCTGGCTGAGGAGAGGGAGTGAGTCTGGCTAGATGTCCAGGATATTGAGTCTTCATAGAGGAACCTTTGATCTCCCTCTTTATCCTCTCCACGATAGTCCAGCAACTGGCGTGGGTCTCTAATCAGAGACTGACTATGCTGCAGAGTAAAAGATCCCCCGTATGAACCACCGTAGCCCCCAGTGGTACCGTACCGTAGCAGACGGTCTGCAGTCTTGAAGCGAGGGCTGGAGGATGACTGCTCCACGTACACTAGCTGCTTGACGTACTCCTTTCCCACTGGACTGTACTCTAGGCTCTGAGTTTTTTCTGGGCACTTCTGCCGGGTCAGAACCAGCTGGCCGTAGGGTGACTGACTCTGCTTTGGAGAGAGGTAGAGGGGAGCCGGAGATTTACGAGCAGGTGATTTGGTAGAGCCATAAAGGGAACACGAGTCCGAGAGTTGCATGTCGGCGGGAGGCTCTTCATATATGGGAGGGGGTTGATACTCGGAAGGTGGCTCCTCATACAGTGGGGGCTCGAAGGCGTAGCGGGGTGACGGAGGCTGGGAGTCTGTTGAGAGGTGGCGATGGCCACCAGTACCTCCCAGTTCAGCTCGCTTCAAAAAAGGAGACTGGCGGCGGTCAGAGTACAAAATAGGAGAGCCGTCAGGTTCTGAAAGCGGGTTTCCTCCGGACAAATGTTGGTTCCGTGAGGCGGTGCCCCCTCCAGAGAGGGCACTAGGCGTTGTGGGTTCACAGGGAGAAAGGTTGTTTCCTTGATGAGCCAGGAAGCTGGGCTCTCTGTCCGTCACCTTGATTAGCATCCTCTCTTTTGTACCAGTGTTCCATCGAAAAGGAGAAGTCCTGAAAAAAGATAAGGGAAAAAGCGACAATACAGATTTTAATGTCACAACAAAGCCCGACAAATTAGCACTTAAAAATAACAAGAGTTCCCACATAGCAAACCCCAGTTCTGGCCCACACAATGCACCAACACTCTAACACACGGCCCAGATCCCACAAAGAATGACGGCCTTTTGGTGGTCCAGATGTGGTTTGCCAGGGGTGGTCTATGCAAGAGCCAGCACCACATAAACCAAAGCACAACTGGCCCAGTTGTGGCACACCATCTTAAAACCAATTCTGTCATTGCCAGACCTGGCCCACATCCTGTTGACAAACCACTTGCCAGCAGTCAGCCAGTAGTGCCAGCTTGACCCCAGATGTGGCCCACACTTGTGTGCTGTGTGAGTTGTTACAAGAATTAAGAGTCAGAGCAAATATTTACAAAGCTTATTTGAGGTTAACATAAGAACCCTTCGTGCTGAATAAAAATCAAACCACAGTTTATTTACAACACGTACAAAAAGCCTTGCAAAAGTATTCATACCTCTTAGTAATCTTTCTATTTTCGTTACTTCACAGCAGTAGAACCTTACTGAATTTTTATTTGATAAAAAATTAATAAACAAAACTTCAAGAATAATAAAGTTTAATGGCAAATTTTGTTTCAAATAATCCTAAAAATATAACAACAGAAAGTTGTTGTGTACATATGCTCTCAAATTTCTGTGTAGAGCCACCTTTATAATCAGTCCAGCATCGAGTCTCTACAAGTCCGGCTCCATGATCCTGGTCCATCTAACCTGGACTTTTTGTCCATTCTTCATGACTAAACTGTTCCAGCTCCTTCGAATTGGATGGGTACTGTTCGTGTTTAACAGTCTTTACATCAAATCATTCCCAGTTGGACTGAGGTCTTGATCAATCTAGGTCCTTTAACTGGTTCTCCCTAAACCACTGGAGTTTTGCTTCAGCAGACTGTTTACGGTCATTGTTCTGCTGAAGGTGGACCTCCATCCCAGTCTCAAATCTCTGGAAGACTCCAACAAATTTCTGTCAAGTATTCCCCTTTATTTAGCTCCATCCATCTTTCCAGGTTCCCAGTCTCTGCTCATTAAAACATCCTCACAGCATGATGCTGCCACCACCGTGCTTCACCTTAGTGATGATGTTCTCAGGATGATGAAATGTGGTACAGTAAATTTGTGTCAGACTTGGTGTTGTCCTTGATGTTTGGTCTCAATTGACCAAAACATGTTCTTCCACATGTTTGGGGAAGAAAATCAAACAGTAAGTAAGTCAGAAACTGAACTCATTATAATCTAACTCAGTCTAATAATAATAATAATAATAATAATAA